TTATTCTTCTTTGTGAGTATCTTGGCATTTTTTAGCCCTTTGAAATACCATATAAATTCTAAAATCAGTTTGTCAAATTTCACAAGAAATGTATGGGGATTTTTGTTCGAAGTACTTTATACACATCGTTTACTTTTGGGATAATTGAGAACTTTTCAGTATTAAGTGCTGACCGTGAATATGGTTTAACACACTATTTATTGAGTCATAGAGAAAGTCAATGCATTTTTGCAAAGAAAAGCAGAAAAAATGCATCATGACTTTCCAAGCAACCCAATGTATTGATCTTATATAATATCTTGCAAATAAAAACAAACTTATTTCTAGATATACTAATGCCGGGAAGGGAACACTTTTTACCCCACTAGAATACCATTAGTGACCTCTCTCTGTCTCCAGTTCCCTCATTTTCCAGGAAGTTGGGGTGACTTAATCAACTGGTCAGTTGAGTAGGCCTAATCCAGTCCCTCCCTTAGCTCTGCCCTCTTGGGAAGAGGTTGCTGCAAGAAATCTGCATGGCACACTCCTCGTCAATGACTTCACCTGTATGGAAGCACTGCTGATGATTTGACTATTGTGTCTCTTGAGTATTACAAAGCTCATTGTCATAAACCTAAATTATATTTTTCTATGTCTAATTTAAAAACATAGAGGGGATTGGCCCCATAGGACAGCAGTTAAGTGTTGCACAGAGAAAGATGGATTTCACATGGCCAACCGTGGTCTGAGTCCTGACCATGGCAGCTTGAAAGACATGCACACTTGTGTTTTCAGGAGTTTGATGGAATGGGAACCTGGAGGAAAAGCACTGTGGTATGACCAGTCCCCATTGGAGAGTGTTCTTTCTCGAGCATCCTCTCTCTCTCTTTCTCATGTGTGTGTACATGTCCTCTAGCATTAAACAAAACTAAACAAGATAGAACAACAGAAACTTCTCTTAGAGTACAGTATGTTTTGGTTAGTTAAATTCTCTAACTTCGGGATCAGCAGTTATCATAATGGCTATGTCGCTGGACTCCTATGTAGTTGACCGTGGTTTGAGTCCCGGACGTGGTGGCTTACACTCATGCCAGGCGCGCGTGAATGCCCAAGATCCTGAGCGAAGAATGGAGGAGAAGGGATTGTAGGTTGGCCATCCCCCATGGGGAGTGATTTCTCGCTTTCTGTCTCTCTGTCTCTGTCTTTCTGGCGAGCGCATGTGCCCTATAACAAAAGCCTCTCAAAAAAAAAAAATTCTCTAACTTCACTAAAGATTAAAATCTTAACTTTTCAAAACTTTCTTAAAAGAGATAAAATAATATAGTAGGAAGTGCTAAAGAACAGTGGGAAAGGGACCAACAGATGGCATTATGGTTATATTGCTGGACTCCCATGTGGTTGACTACAGTTCAAGTCAAGGACCCAGCAGCTTAGAACTCACACTGCCCATGTGTGTACGTGTGTGTGTTTGTGTGTGTGTGTGCCCCAAATCCTGAAAGAAGAATGGAGGAGAAGGAATTACAGCATAGCCATCCCGCCTAGCAGATAATTTCTCATTTTCTGTCTCCATGCGTCTCTCTGTCTCTCTAGCGAGTACATGCTCCCTATAGCAAAAATCCCTGTCAAAATATAATAATAGTAATAGTGGAAAAAAATCCTTAGTTAAAGAAACAGTTTGACTGCAACAGGTGGTGTGGTGGTTAAGGTGCTGGACTCCCACATGGGTGACTAAAGTTTGAGTCCCAGACCTGGTGGCTTGAAACTCACACTGGGGATGTGTGCATGCATGCGCAAAATCCCAAGAGGAGAATGGAGGAGAAGAGATAGTGGCCATTACCCCTGGGTAGTAACTTTTTCACTTTTTCTCTGTCTGTCGGTCTGTCTGTCTCTGACAAGCACACACACCCTATGCCAAAAAAAAAAGCACACTAAAAAGTAAACAGATTTTACTGTAATGCTTAAGAGCTGTGTGATCCTCAATTTCCATATGTATAAAATAAGGACAATAACTTCTACTTCCAAAGATTGTTGTGGGAGGAAGTGAGAAAATACACATAAAAACACCTGGTAAGTAAGAGAGATTTCAAAATCTTATTTCTCTCTTGTGTCTGTTGCTGTATATCTAAATTACTTATTTGTTTTCTCTTCTGAATATGTGTTCAAAAAAAGCACAATTTAAGTATTAATTTATTAATTCACTCAATACTTCATTCAGTAATTTTCATTTATTTATTTATTTTTTTATTTGCCAGAGAACAAGTGCCCTTGTCAGAGTGATCACCTCCCTCCCAGTGGGGCATGGTGATGCTGCAGTCTTTTTGCCGCCATTTTTCTTTCCTGTCAGGATTTGGGGCATACATGCACATGGGCCCAGCATATTTTTCAAGCTGCTGGGGCCGGGATTCCAACAATGATTCAGCCATGTGGCATTGGCTTCTGAAGGACAGGGCTTAACTGACCCCCTACAGAGATGGTCCAGTTAATAATTTTAAAGCTACTACATTATGCCAGGGACATGCTGGCTCTGATAGGGAATCAAGGATGGGGGAAAAAAGCAAAACATACAGAAAACAAGAAATGGAAAGTTATTTGCTGACAATAACATGTTTGTTGATGTGCTTGATTGAGACAATATACAGGGTACTCTGGATGAAAAATCTCATTTTGTATGCTGTAATGATGTACAGTGAATGAATGCAAATAAATTGAATTTAAAAAAAGTAGTAAAAAAAGACAATAAGATTAATATTGTTCCTGTTCTCAAAGAATTTATAATCTAGTGAATTACAGCTTTCAATGCTTCAGAGTCAATATTGTGATTATAATTTGTTCATAGAGAAGGGGATTTTAGTTGCTTGAGGACTCTAGTTAGATGGGTTTGTTGGCTACTACCATTATCTGTTCTTTTGTTGTTGTTGTTGCCATGTACTATTCTTCAAGAGACAGTTGTATAGTATTGCACAGACTCTCTATAATGGCCATAACTAGCTATATGAGTGTAGGGCCCAGTGCAAAATGAAATGAAGTCATTTGCTAAAAAATTGTTAAGAATTTCAAGATAGTGGTGGTAAAGCATTTAACCAAGCACAGAACCATTCTGAGTGTGGGGGCTGTTGTAACCACACAGGTTACCCATCCATGAAGTGACCCTCATAAAGGCTGCACTGAGTGACATGTGCTAGAGAAACCCTATTTCCTTTCGATTAAGCTCAAAGTTACGTGGATGAGAAAATGTGAGTTATAGAGGCAGATGGAAGCAATAAATCAACATTCCTTTCCCTATTTTACTAATTGCAGAGGTGGAGAAATAATGTGACAGTGTCTAGGATTAGCTAACTGTTTAATTAAACAAACATTAACTGAGCACTGGTTGTTTGCCTAGCAGCTTGCTAAGGAGCCAGGGATACACCAGAAAACAAAGTAGACCATGTGTGATTATCCTAGACTGTTTATTTCTATGTGGAAGACAGATGATAAAAACAGAAAGGAATAAATAAATACTGAGTGTACAGTGGTGATATGGTTTAGAAGCCATCAAACTAGGCTTTCACAAGGAAAATTAAGATAGAGGACATAACTTTGGGGACTATGTAGCATGGGGTTTTAGGATACAGTTTGGGGAGAAGAAATGACTCTTAGCTTCTTTGCTTACCGGATGTAGACGTCTGGAGAGAAGGAACGACTCTTAGCTTCTTTGCTTACCGGATGTAGAACCTTAGGTGAATCACTTAATTAACCTCTGCCTTGAATTTCTTACATGTAAAAATGATAACATATAACTCATAACATTCCTCTGTGATTTAAATGGAATGAATTAAGTGCTGTGTTTTTCCAATTAAAAATAAAATCAGAGACCTAACAACTAAGAAGAAATCAGATTTGCAAAGAGCCAGAGGAGAATTCCTGGTTCAATAATTGCAAAGTTCCCTAGAGTATTTTAAGAAACTTCCAGGAAGACACTGTGCAGAGAGTATAATGTATTGTATACTTTCGCTGTTCCCCAACAATTCAGGTGTTGAGACTTGGTATATTGTAAAGGTCTTAAGTGTAAACTTAATTCCTTCATACCATGCCAGGGTGGGACCTTTGGATGTGATCAGTTCAGTACAGTAAGAGTCCTGTGATTGACTTTCAGTGGATTTGTGAAAGGGAAAGGAGATGAGAACAGGCAGAAACTTATGAACAGCTGCTCTGCTCAAGACTCTGTCCTCCACCATGTTGTTGCTTCACAAGAAGTTGGTCCCTGGACCTTGGACCTCCAGATTGTGAAATGAATAAACTGCTATTCTTACCGGCCACCCAGTTTCAGATATTTCTGTTGGCAATGCAATAGTGGACCAGTACAGTGCATGAGGGAGACAGGGCTATGGGCTTGGAGCAGGAGGAGTGTAAGAGGAAGCAGGGAATAGAAGTGGACCTAGAAAACTAATTCCCTGGACAAGAGAAAATGACTATTCTGATACTGACTCACATACGTCCTAAACCAAATGGACTTACTTATACCAGCAAATATGTCAGAAATAAATTTAACCAGCTACCCATTTCATTTCTCTGGGGACTGATGGCAAATTTTCCAATTCATAAGTGAAACTTTTAGTCAGAGAAATACCTTAGTAAAATCAAGACAACACACCCACATCTCTGACTCTTAATGTGACAAGTAAGTCAGTTGCAAAGCCTAAACCATAGGCTTACAAGTACCCCTACAGAAGCAAAGGAGGTTATCATCGTACTACAAAGGTCCGTCACCATTTAATTGTCCCATCTTTCATCTCCAGTTTGTCACCACTCCCCGACACTCACATCTGCAGCCCATGTGGCACAACACAGTAGAATCCCTTTTAATCTAACTAAAATGCCAAATCTACCATGAATAATTTCTTATGAATTTAATGAACCTCTAAATACCATTATGGGCTTTCATATTTCATTTAAAAAGAAAGAAATGTAGAGGGGAAAAAATCCACCACATTAGAGAAGGAGTGAAGGGAGTGGCAGTAAGGCTCCATAAACAACCGTACCTTGTGCAGCTAACTCTTTCCACCTCTCTTTGTTCTGCTGAATGATGTCCACCAGATTGTTTTTAAAACCCCGCAGGTCCACTGCTGCCAGAGAATAGTCTGGGGAATTGGTCCCATCGCTCACGGACCTTGTATTTGATCGTCTCAGGGCCTCAGCAACGTGTAAGCCCACAATGCTGCTTGAGCTGACAGTAACAACCAAAGAAACCAAAAGATACCAGCATCAGCATATGGAATCAGAGAGCAAAGCCTGAAAAACTTCACAAAACCAACTGGGAAAGCAAGATAGGCAATGCTCAGGCCCAGTTTTGAGCATGTGGCAACCAGTCACTTCCTTTCTTTCCCTCTTTAAATGAAGAGGGCTGCCAGCTCTCCTTAGTGCACTCACTCCTTAGTATTTGTGTTATTTTTTTCCTGTATGGACCACAGTTTTCAATCTCAGAGGCAGATGCAATATAATAAAGATCCACGAGGTGGCACTACTACCCAGTAATTCTTGTGAGAATGCTCTGCCTTTGCTCTGAGAATAAGGATGATCATTAAGCAGAAGGTTATTAAATATCACAGGGATGAAGAATAATGCAAAAAGAAGACCTCATACCTGCTTGTCTCATAGGGAGTTTCATTTTTTAAGGCTTCCTCTATAAGAGGAGTAACAATTTTCTCTGTTGAGTCTGTCAGAAGAGAAAATGTTGGCTCTACTATGAAATCAATGAAACCTACAAAAGCCAAAAAGCAAGAGAAAAGTTAAATTCAGTATTAATAATTTCCTGAATTCTAAAATCACGAATAAAATAATAAAATGTCTCTGATGCTCCTGAGATAGCATGTATCAGCCTCGATATTGGTTCTGCTTGCCCTTTGATATTACTTTAATCTAATAATGCAACCTTTAGATATAGTTTAACTGGTCTATAAAAAAAACTGAAGCAGATGAACTGATACAATGCTCGCTTGCTCACTCAAGTACATTGGCTTTTCTATTTCATGTTCAATCTTATGTACTATTGTTAACAAAAAAAATTATCTAATGAGAGTAAATGTATCTTCTACTGTCGACGAAAAGGATCAGTATCTTTCTGAAAGATCTTCACTAAATTGTTAAATGTTGTTATTGATATTATTAAGTTTATTTATGTATTTCTTCTATGAACAAGAGAGACAACACTCCCAAGAGGGCCTGGGTGCTGCAATCCACCCTTAACCTCCGCTAGCCCAGACCACGGGCACATCTGTTTCTGGCATATTGAGGGAGTTTCCAGACATTAACCTAGAAACATCTCATGTGGGTCAGGTTTGCAAAATATCACATTTTACCACTGCACAACTATCTGGTCCTGAATTTTACTGTTGACCAACATGAAATAATATCTAAGCTTCAAAGAAACTATTAAATAATTGCTTTTTTAAAAAAAACTATCAATATATCAGCCAGAGCTTTCTGCCAGGGTGTTAATATTTCAAATTACCATTTATTAGTCTTTGGATGTAAAGTGCTAGTTTGCAGCATGTGGGTGTGTTCTGTCAAATCACCAAAGAGAACAGTAACATCTCTCAGAGACGGCATAAATCCCACCACTTAGAGATGTCAGGATGGAATGAAGACTGACATTTAAAGTACTCATCAAGGAAGAAAATGACACATGGAAG